CAAGGAACAAACCAGATCAGATGTAGCAGGGCTTGGGAATGACAATTTCTTGAGTCCTGACAGATATATATGGCTGTGGTGCCAAGGAAGTCACTCTAGGAATGTTATCATATTGCTACTCAGCCTCAGGGAGACAGTCCTGCACCAACCTACAAGTATCTCTGGGCCACAGGTCATGGAAGAAGTATGAGAAAGAAGTAACAATTACTGAGCTTTTCCCCAGCATTGTGTTAGATGCTGGATGTTGATTAAACTGCTTCTCTGTTGTGATACATTGTCCTAAGCATTTGAGAGGCTTTATCACTCATGTTCTTCCCAATAATCCCATGGATTATAATCACTCCCACCCTGCCGATAATGAAAAAAATGAAGTCTTAGCAGGTTAAATCATTCAACCAAGTCACATAGCTGGCCAGGATGGATCTGAAAGAAGAATCTAGACCTGCAAGATTCTGAATTCAGATTTTTCTAGTCTGGCGTAAGAAATACTGGAGGTACCACTGGGAACTGTCTTGGAGATGTAATGACAGCTATGGCTGCCTGAAAGCCTACAGGAGGTACACAGTTTTGCATACAATTTCTAGTTAAAAGTCCCCCTAACCTGGGCACTCATTCTCCACAATTCCAGGCAAGCACAGTTTAATCCTGGGATGCATGGACCCTGCCTTGCGGCTGCAAACTGGTTTATTGCTCCTTACCTCCATTTTCACCCAGAATCGGACGCCTTGAACTGGAAGAAGGAAGTACGAAGGAGAGTGAAGGAGAAAGCAGGCCTCACCCACCACCTAGAATGTCAACGGCTCAGACAAGGAACGAAAAGGAGCCAAGACCTGGGAGTGACCGGAAAGGACAGCCATCCAAGGAGCCCAGAGGACGCAGAGCCAGTGACTCAGGCACATCCGGCAACTCTGCTTACTTACAGGGTGCTTCCTGGAAATGTGTGGTCTCACCCAGAGCAAACCAGCAGCACAGAGGACAGGAAGTGTGCCAGGCTGGGGGCTGAACTGTCCCCCCAGGACAACTCTCCTTCACTGGGAGTGTCCTGCAGCTCCTCAGCAGGACTCCTCCCTCCCTCCTGCTGCCTCGTCACAGAAGGAAGCAAACACTTGAAATCAGATCCTCCAGGCCTCATTTGGTTTCGCTTTGCCAAGGAGTAGGGAGCACAGGGACACTGGGAGGAGGGGTCCTCTTGAGTGAGCTTCAAGGTGGCAGATCTGCCACTCCGATCCTTCTAGAGCTTGGGTATCAAGAGCCAGACTCCCTGGGTCACAGCTGGTATGCACAACAGGCAAGTTACTCGTGCCTGGGACTCCTTCCTTAACTTTCAAAACCATTGATGACATTTTGTGCCTCCTCATTACTGCGAGGATCCAATAGGGCGGCCACTATTACATGTGGGCTGTGAGACATGCTGTCTCTCTCAGCAGGTCCCCACATTCACAGGGGTGAGGTGGGGACACCTAGCATACCCAATGACACTTTCTGTCATTCCTTTAACTTCACACAAAAGTGTCAGCCCCAGGCACACATCTGGGGACACTCAATCCAAAAAAAGCTCCTAGTATGGCATGGGTTGACCCCTTCCCAAATCCTGGGGTCCCGCAGATGACCAGCTGCATGGAAAAGCCTCTGAAGCCAGGTACAGATTCCGTCCTCTCTGCGGTCCCTTTGGCAATAGGTCAGGCAGCCCTAGGCTCAGCTGTTTTAAGTCACCCAGGTTAGTCTCAAACTTGCAACTCTCCTGCCTCAGGCTCCCTAGCAGCTAGGATTACAGGCAACCACTTGATCCTTCCTTACCCTTTGTCACCTTTGTGGCACAGAAGGGCAAAGCCTGGATGTTCTCAGGCAGGAGGATTTAGTGAGTTTGAGGTGGGAAAGTGCAAACTCCCCTTCCTCTCTAGGATATGAGATAGCTCAGGAATGCAGGAGAGGGGTGCTACCACTGTGAATCATGCACAAGGCTTCATTCAGTTTAACCAGCCACAGGAAACAGGTCACACTCTGCACCTACCCAGATGATCCGCAGTGGGATCTACGTACTCCACCATGGGCTCCTGCCTTCCCTCTGAACCCCCTGGGGTTTTGTCCTCCTCCATTTTGGGCAGCATTAAGCTCCACCCCAGGGGTTAGCAGGACCCTCTGAATCTTTGGGTCTCCTCCTCCCCTCCCCCACAGAGGCAATTCCTAAAGAAGGGCAGAGGGTAGTGGGGGGGGGGGGGCGACCAGAGAGCAGACAGGCGGATCAGACAGCAGACGCTTTCAGGGCAGAGAGAAAGAAGGAAAATCTAGACCATAGAACCTGGCCTCATTGTCACTTTGGGGAGCTTCAAAGCTGGAGTCTCCAGACCAAGTTCAGTGACTGTGCACAGGGAGAACCCAGAGACTGGTAAGGAGCTGGTGGCTGCCCTGGTGATCTCCTCTGCCACCATGAGGGCTAAAACGGAGTGTGGTGACTGAAGAGGCCGTGGCTGAGCATTACAATGCCAGGGGTCCTTTTGCCCTGGCACTATTGCTTTTCAGATGCTGTCAGCCCTGGGAAGAAGAAAAGAGAGGAAACTCCAGGTGTATTCATGGCACACCCCAAAATGCTCTCACCTGAGCACCCAAAGGGAGCTACTTCGGCTCGGGAGGTGGAGTACAGATCACCAATTCCCCTGTTCCAGGCAAAGGAGGAGTGGCTCTGGGTGCCAGCACTGCCACCCTGGCCTGTCACTGGAGCTGTAGGCTGGTAGTGCCTGAGGCAAACTCCAGTGATCCTCAGCTGGAAGGAAGCCTGAAGTGCCCCTGAGAAGCATGTTTCAAGGGGGCAGTGGGAAGCAAATGCTAAACTTTCAGTGCCTTACTAGCAAGACAGGGCTACGTCCTGCCACCAACTGGAGTCCCTGCCTTCGATACTGTCCAGATCTTCACCCAGACAGGGCAGGCACCTGTGTGGACTTCCCAGGGCCCTTCAGAAGTACATTACTGGCTGGAGTTGGGGGTCACATCATCTCAGTGGACCACCTCTCAGGGTGTCCTCTACACAAAACTTTGATTCTTTTCCCACAAGGTCGAAGAAAGCCTGCATTGCCCGGCTCAGGTCAACCCTCTGAGCTCTCAGAGATTGCTCAACCTCTCTCTCCACCCACCAGCCATATCTCTGGCATCAACCCAGCTCCGAAGTTCCTTCAAGGGACAAACTCCTCCCCTCTCCCCCACAGGGACAAGAGCCTCTAAGTCTGTGGGATGGTCTACAGGCCAGGCTGGGGGTGCTGCCCCACCGTTCCCCTGACACTCTGGCTTTGGACCTTTCTACCTGCACCCCAATCTAGATGGGATGGGGGTGAACTAGAGGAGATAAAGGAAAACATTGGAAGAAAGAGAGAGAGATCAATATCAAACACCTGGCTTCCAAACTGGGCACAACTTGTCCTGGTCACAGAAATCAATCAGTTACTCCAAAGGTGGAGGGAACTAGAGTTCCAGAGCCAAAACTAAAAGGCCTTTTCTGCAAACTCTTGGAATTTTTTTTCCCTTTGGCAGGGTATCCCTATGTAGCCTCAAACTTGCAATACTCCCGCCTCAGCCTCGGAAGTGCTGAGATTACCAGTATGGGCCACCACAAAAAGTTCCTGACTTGCACACTGGGGGTCTAAGAGTCCCCTTCCAGGTCAGCATCCACCAACTCACCCTCCTGCTTTGCAGATGACACTTGAGACCCTGGTTTGAATGTGACTTCTAGGTCCCTAGGCCAGGAGACCTGGACATTAGTTCCAAGAGGCATAGAGCAGAAATAGGATGGGTACACACCAACTGGGACAAGCATAGATGCGGAGGAAAGAACAGAGGTTAAGAGGGAGAAAGGCAGAAACCACTGAATACGGAAAGAATGCTGAAAGCAGAGGCCTGAGCCTTAACAGCTGAACTTAAGCTCCGGGTCCATAATGACCAGGGACCCACGAAATCCTGGAGATGTAGGAGGACCCAAGACAGCCCAGAATTCCCACCACTTGGGGTAGACTCACTTTATCACACATGCACCCTTCTGTCCCTGCTGGGATCACCAGGATCCCTGGGAAAACCTCTTGGTGTCCCCTGAAGTCCCCGGTTGTAGGAAAGAGCAGCTATCCTCAGCAGTGGCAGGGCAAGGTCCAAGTTTGGGGTGCAGGGAATAAACCACACTTATCAGCCACAGGCAGCTTGCACAGGTCAACCGATGAGCAGATGAGCAAAGAGCCAACACAGCACCCCACACTGAGGCTCCAGCTGCCCAGCAGGGCGGGTGCCTCACACCTCATCTTCACCAGGGGCCTTGGGGCTGCCCTGGCTCTGCTCCAGCAAAACCCTATTTCTGAAATCTATGGCTCAACTCCCCCTTCCTTTGTGCCCTGTTCTTTGTTCTCTTAAAATTCAGTCCATCCTGCTGGTGGTCCCCTCCTCCAGCCCAGCTCAGAAGGGGGCGGGGGATGCTTCCCAGTTATTAGAAACCCAGACGGTGGCTTGCCGTGCTGCAGGAGCCCCCCCCCCCAGCCCCTCTCTCAATGTTTACATCCCTCTATCTGGGGAAGGATGTGGACTGTCTGTCTCCCCTTGCCAACCCCTCAGAAAGGTAGAGGACTTCTCAGCAAAATGACACCCCCCTTCCCCCAGGATCGTCCCCCATTTCAATACACAGCTTCCAAAGCTGTGAGCCCTGCTTGGAGAAAGGAGCTAGGCAAATTGCAAGTGGTGGGGCGATGGAGGGGGTGAAGTTCCCAGACAAGAAAAGAGAAAGCATTGTATTTCCCCTCCATTCTCCCTGGGAGAAACACAAAACTTCCAAAGCCCAGGCCGCAGTATCTCATCGCACAAACACAAGGAACCTGGTTTGAGTTAACAGAGAGCAACCACACACACACACACACACACACACACACACACACACACACATGTGCACACTTCAGAACTCTACCAGGAAGCCGAACCAGGCTGAGACCTCCAGGCCCGGTTCCCGCCGAGCCCCTTCGGGCCGGGGCACTCACCCGCGGATGGCCGGGATGTCCAGCGAGCAGGGCAGCTCTTGGGACTCACCAGGCCAGGGGGCGGTTTTGTAACTCCAGCTGGGGGCGCTCCGAGGGGCGGAGCCAGAGACCCCTATCCGAGCTCGACCGCCTGAAGCTTGTGGTTAAATCATTAACCAATCGCTAGCTGACCGCGACCTCTCCGTGAACACTGCGCTCCCGGCGCACGCGGCGTGCAGCCCGGCGCAAAGCCGTCTCTCCGGTTCCGAGGCGGCCGGCAGCTGGGCTGGGCCCCACCCCGTCCGGAGGAGCCTGGGCCTCTCGCGGCCTTGGCCTCCAAGTCTTCCACGGGAGGCGGGCGGAGCGGGAGCCTGGCTGGGAGGGAAGGAAAGAGCTGGCGAGGGCGGGGCGGGGGAGTGTTTGTTCCCTGGGCCATTCCCTTTCAGGCTGCGCCTTCCCTCCTCTCCCCTGTCCAGTGACACTGGGTGGCGTATGCTGCAGTGTGTGTACGAGGGCGAGCGAGTGTACACGCCTCTGTCACCACAGGCGCACGATTGGGTTCTGATTCACAGGGAACTCTGCGCGCACACACCCCTCTCCGGCAGACTGCAGGCTGCCGAAGGTTGCGCTCCGACCCACAACGACACACGCCCCATTCCTGAGCAAGGGGGTGGACTTCAAACCCTGCCTCTTCGGCCCGCCGCCAGCAGCACCCTTGGCCACACCGGCGAGTTCCAATCTTGGGAGCAGAAATCGATCCCTGCCACGTTGCATCCCGCCTTTTGATACTCCAACTCTCCAAGCCCCACTCTCTTGGGACACGGTCCGTAGCTCCAGGTCCCGACACCCCGACAGCTCCACGGGCGCCCGGGCCCAGCCCCACCTCTCCGGGCGGGAGCGGCGACAGGCGGCGGGCGGAGGATCTGGGGTCTGTGCGCCCTTGTCCCCTGCCCGTGGCGGCCCCCACCCGAGCTCTCTCAGTGCTCACCGCCCACGAAGGGGCTCAAGCCCGCCCAGGCCTCGCAGGGCGCGCGAGGCTGTCACGGCCAGAAGCGGGTGCCGGTCGCCTACCTCGGCTTCCAGAATCCCGGGAGCGGGATCTGCGCGGCTGTGCGCTCCCCTCGGTGGGCTCGGCGCCGCGGCCCGGCCGGCGGCCCATGTCCACGCGGGAATCCAGCTCGCTCGGGCCGCGGGCTCCTGGGCCGGGAGCCGGGACACGCCCCTCGCAGGCTCCTCCCGGCCCCTCCCGCACCCCGCGCGCCGAGGTCGCCGCGCCGCCGCAGCCAATGGGGTCGCGAGCCTCTGCTCGGCGGCTCCGCCTCCCGGTTCAAACCTGAAAGCCTGAGCCTCTCCAGCTCCGTGTGGGGCCCCCTGGGCGGGCCGGCCTGGGGTGCCGCCCTCTTCCTGCGGTTGGGTCGCTAACCTTCCCCCGGAGCCCCCAGGGCAGAGGTGTGTCTACTTCTGGGGCCCCGCGCGAGCGACTCCCGGCGCTTCCCCATTTTAATCCCCAGACCCCAAGAAACCAGCCCGGGAGCCGGAGGGCGGGCGCCGGCCCGCAGTGGACTCGGTCCCAGACTCTTAACGGGAAGGCAGCTGACCGGGGGCGTCGGCTGGCCGAGACCCAGCCAGGACTGGGTGTCAGAAGGTTTAGGTGGGCTGACCCGACTTGGAGCGCCTTGCCGTGGGTGCCCAAGACTGCGGGCTCTGTCTCCTCAATATTCGTTGAAGCTCAGCTTTGCCCCGAGAACTTTAAAGGGGATGAACTCCTACAAGAAGCAGCCTTGGGCTCTGATTTTTGGAGGAATAGTTTCCACTGTGAATTTCGTTACCAAAACAGTCAAGGCCGGCGCTGGAAATATTTAACACAAGTGGAGCCAGCCCACAAAGCTCTCTCGTCTAGGCTGCTCAAAGGAAGTGGGGGTGGAGGCCTCAGGGGCTCCTGCCTCCCTTCCTCCAGAGTGGCAGTGGGTCCCTCAGTCCTCTTCAATTTCCTCTAAACCCGGCCTTCTCACGACTTCACTTCCCCTTCTCCCTCTCCCCGAGAGCGAATTGCGCTCCACATCTACCGGTGCAGGGATGCAGTGAAAATTGAATCCCACACTGGACCCTGGGGACTCTGAGGATGTAGCTCAGTGTGAAGGCCAGACAGGCACTAAGGCCCTGGGTTCTGGGTACCCAGCACTAGGGCCAACAGTAAAAATATCAAAACATCACTGAGAGCTGGTTATGGTGGCCCATGCCTATAATCCCAGCACTGGGGTGGGAGTGGAGGACTGAGGCAGGAGGATCACTGCAAATTCCGTACCAGCCTGGGCTACAAAGTGAGCTCAAGGCCACGCTGAACTGGATAGCAAGATCTTGTCTCAAAAAAGACAAAACACGAAACAAAACAAAACAACATCACTGGGACTAGAAAGCGGTCTTCAGAGAAACTTGGGAACCGGAAGTCATGGGTGTCAGGCCTGCCTGGGTTATCAGGGCGAATGGTTTCCCTCTCCCCAGAGCTCTCTTTCTGTGTTCATTGTCGAAGGAGCAAGGAACATTCCCCAAGCCTCACTAGACGGTATTTAAAAGGGGGTTAGGATATGCAGCAGCAGGCAAAGGGCCCAGCTACTGTCTGCAAGAAGCATTGCAGCCCCACTGGGTGGGCGTGAGTAACTATGGAGTGCTGGAAAGTACCTCTTGGATTCCCAGCGCTACCAAAGGCGGACATACAACTTCCGGCTTCCAGATCTGTAAATGGGACAGCAGCCCTCTACACATGTGCCTACCCGGTGAGAACGAGTTCAATGAGATCCCTGGCAGGAGAGGCCACACAAGGCTCCAGAGGTCCTTCCTCCTGCTGATTCTCCTCACTTTGCTCCCGACTGAGAGCCTCTTTTTCCCTCAGAACTTTAGCTCTGAGGGCTGAGGATTTAGCTCAGAGGCATAAGCACCTGGCTTGCAAGCAGGGAGTCATGAGCTCAATCCCTGGTACCGATAAAAAAAAATTTCAGCTCTGAGTCTCATCTGTACCCATCTCAAAAAACAAGACACCACTTGTCTGATTTTCTCTGTGACAACTCCCTCTCTCTCCTCTCTTTTCCTTCTGTGTTTAATAAATGAGGTTTTTTTTTTTTTTTAAGGCTAGCTGTTAGTAACTTAATCACCCCACCATTTTAATTTTTAAATCTTTTATATATTTATTTTTCATGGTACTGGATGCACCCAGGGCCTTCACACTAAGCTATATCACAAGTTCTTTTATTCTGCATATGGCCTCAAAAAGTTGTCCAGGCTGGACTTGAGCTTGTGAGGCCCCACCCTCTCCCCAGCCTCCAGAGTGCTGGGATTGTAGGCATATATCACCAGGCCCAGCTCCTCTTTCTTTCTTTCTTTCTTTCTTTCTTTCTTTCTTTCTTTCTTTCTTTTTCCCCCCTCTTCTTTTCCTTTCTTTATTTATTTGGCTGCTTTTGAGATGAGGCCTCCCTACTATCCCAGGCTGATCTTGAACACCCTATGTAGCCCAGGCTGGCTTTGAACTTTCAGGAATCCTGTCTCAGCCTTCCAGGGGCTGGGATGGCAGGTGTGCACTACTGTGCCGGGCTCGTATCAACCTACCCCAGGAGGCAGCTGCCCACCCAGAGTTGGGGAAGGTGCACACTGTCTCCTTCTCACTGTCACTGCAAGGCAGACTCATTTTCCTGTGTCCAGTAGGAGAGAGACGAATGTCCCCAGGCCATCCTGGAGCTTGGCGGATGGCTAGCCACTGGCTTGGCCTTTTCTCACTTATTGCTTACGCTGCTGCAGCTCCCTTTTCACTGGTGTCAGCCTGGGGTTGGGCCTTCCCAATAAGGCTCCTTATCCATTAAACAGCCTCCAAGACAAAGAGTTCTGGTCCTTTGTAACTCCTCCTCCCCTTATTCAGATTCAGTTTCCTTCCACAAACAGCACCACCTTGGAGGTTTGCCTTTAGGGACAAAAAACCAAGCCCAAGCCCTGCCCTCAGGATGCTCAAGGTAGAAATGGACTGCCTAGGGGAGGAGCTCAGTCAGGCATCCTAGCACGCCCCTGGGGGAACTGACTAAAGGAAACTAATTTTCCCTGACTTGTGGATTGTCTCCTAAGAACCCACCAAACCTCAGTTTCTTGGTCATCTTTCAGGCTATGAATGCTGTCTATGAATAATCAGAGGAAATGAGCCAGATGAAGAACTGGAGGCCTGAATACCTACCTTAACATTTCTGGCAAGTGCTAAGCCCCAGATTTGGGGGAGGGATTTAAAGTCTTAAATGCACCTTTGGTGTAATTTGGCCTATAAGCCTTTAGGCTTGAGTGTGTGTCTCTGCCTGTCCTGGGTTTGGGCGTGTGCGGTCCTAGCCACTGCCTGGGCCTGCCCTTTCGTAGGGCTCTCCTACTTGGGGTGTACCTACCAGTGTTCCTTAACATCTGGTTCCGGGCATTGTAGTTCGTTATGTTTGATACTTCTACTCCCAAGAGGGTTGGCTAGGTTGGTTAATCCCACTTCCTCATAGAAAAGTTGTGGTTTGGTGTTTGCCACAAGGTATGACTCTGGGCATTCTCTCTCCTTCTTCCTCTCTGTGCTGAGAATCAAACCCATGGCCTCATCCATGCTAGGTAAGAGTTCTACCACTGCACTATACCCTCAGCCCCCATTTCCCTTTCTGAAATGTCTGATGACCAAGGCTTCTTTCCCCGAGCACATCCTGTGCCTTCTCTTTTCTATTCTGAGATCTCTGCCCCACCAAGATGATACCAAGGTGGTCTGGGAACGGACTCCTCAGGATGTTACCAGGGCTTGATGTCATCACGTGGAGCCTGGGTGACTTCAGCCAGGAAAGCTCTGGGCTACTTCACTGCTTTGTTCAGGACTAAGGCTTTTTCACTCTGGGTTTCTTGTCCTTAGGAACCACGTGGAGCCTTGTTAGCCCTTGGGAAGACCCTAAGCACCGGATAGAGTGCCTGGGGCTCAGGTCAAGACCTGCTTCCCACTCTAGATAAGAGACCCGCATCTAAGAGCTGTTTCATTCAGGCTCCAGGCTCATGAATTCTACCCTTTCAGGGGTTACCATGGTACTGCAGGTCTCCAGAGCACACTAGAGAGGAAGACAACAGGTCTTTCCTAGGAGGTCCCTGGGGACAACGTGACGACCAACTCCTATTTGAATCAATAATGTGGGCTAGCACTTAGTGCAGTTGCCAGAAAAATAAATGAGCAGAGTCTAGAGGCCACCTCCCTCCTTTCTTCTGTTTGCCACCCAGTTTTAGGCTAAAACTAATCAAAACTAATTTTCTCCAAGAGACAAGCTCTGCTGGCCCCCTACAGGGTCAGATGTCTACCAGAATGGCAGCTCTCTGGAGCCCCCAGCATGCATAGGCTCCAGGGTTATAGAAGCCACTGTCTCCAAGGCTCCCTGTATTGGTGATATGCTGTTCACCTGTCTGGGGACTATAGAGGGCAGGAGCTGACCAAAGGATTAAGCTGGGTCCAAAGAAAGGATGAGCTGAGTAACTACTGTGCTCCCTCAAGTTTGCACAGCCAGTAAACACAAGTTCGGAGTTCTGTCCTCCGAGTCTGGATGCAATTCTGGTAAACTCTGGGGCCTGTTTGCTCTGCTGCTACCCCATAACTCAGCTCATCCTTTCTTTGGACCCAGCTCAGTGCTTTGGTTTCTGGGGATTCCTTCCACCTCTCTTCCTGAGAAAGGACAGAAGACATAGGCTCCCTACACCCCACTTAGAGATCCTGTCTGCCACTGGGCACCATGATGTGTTAACAGACTTCCCCTTGGCACTGCTGAAACTTTACCAGGAAAGCAGGAGGTGACACCAGCTTTCTTATTGATCCAGAAGAGAGAAAAAACATAGCCAATGCTCTGGGCTTTGAGAGTTAGCGTAAACTCCAACTAGATTGTAAGTCATGGAAGCAAGATCTCTGGAAGGAGTGTTCTGGGTAACACCAGGTTTCTGCATCCCAGAACCTCACCTGTCAGTGACCCCTGGAAAAAGCGAGAGAGCCTGATCTATTCTTCACCAGGGGCGTCCTTCTGCTGCTCTGAGGACAGATTGGGACATAAGGAGTTCAAGGCCAGCCTGAACTACATAGTGAAATCCTGTCTCAAAAACAAATACACCAACAAACAGAGTTCTGTGGGCACCAGCCAGTCTCAAATTCAGGGTCCCAGTTAGACCTTCTGGAGCAAGATTGGTCCCCAGCGTCCA